ATACATGGTTGAGTAGGACCTATGACTTATGGTCACACAGGTGGACCTGGTAAAAAAAAGGAGCCAGGGGCTCCTCCCAAACCGATATGACCCCTGATGAACAGTTCCTCAAATGACCTTAAGTATAAAAATAAATTGATTTATTTGGGCCAAAAAATTTTTTTTGAGCCAGAAAAAAAAAAGAAAAAAAAAGAAAAAAAGAAATATGGGGCTGGAGAGATGATTCAGTAGTTAAGACCATTGGCCAAGGACCCAGGTTCAATTTCCAGCACCCACATGGCAGCTAACAACAAACCCCAGTTCCAAGGGATCTGACACCCTCTTCTGACCTTTGTGGGCACTGCATGACACAGGTGCACTTACATACATGCAGGCAATGCACTCATACACATGTAATAAAAAAAAATATTTTTTTTTTGGTCTCTTTGAGACAGGGTCTCCCTGTAGCCCCAGCCAGCCTGGAACTTGCTATGTAGACCAAGCTGGCCTCGAACTCACAGAGATCTCCTTGCTTCTACCTCCCAAAATGCTGGGGTTAAAGGCATGTATCACCATGCCCAGCTAAAATAAAATATTTTTTTAAAAAAAGAAACAAATGGGTTGGTGAGGGCTTAGCAAGCAAAGTACTTGCCATGCAAGCCTGATGACCTGAGTTGGATCCCTAGAAACTACATCAAGATGGAAGGAGCGAATCAATCCCAAAAAGTTGTCCTCTGACCTTCCCACATGTACTGTGGCACCCCCCCACACACCCTCCCTCTCTCTCTCTCTCTCTCTCTCTCTCTCTCTCTCTCTCTCTCTCACACACACACACACACACTTTCAAACTACATATATCCCTCCAAGAAATTCTCATACACAAGCAACACTGAAAAATTATCAGAAGTGTCAGACACTTAGCTGGACATGGTGAGGTACATGTGTAATCTCAACACTTGAAAGGTGGAGGGAAGAGGATTGCAACTTTTGAGGCCATCCTGGTCTTTAAAGCAAGACGCCGTCTCAAAAAATCAAGACATAATTTCAACACTGGGTAATTTTTGTACTATTTTTCATTTTTATGAGTATTTGCCACTACAAATGATTACTTTCTTTATACTATGGTTTTGCTGTGTAGCCCAGGCCAGTCTCTAAATCACAGCAAGTCTCCTGCTTCAGCCTTCAGAGTGATAGGATTAGAGGCAAGGGCAACACACCATTATCTCAAAGTCTGTTAACTGATTTCTGATAATTCTAAACATGAATATGTATTTTAAATTTACTTTTATTTTATCTGAGACATGGTCTCCCTGTAGCCCCAGCTAGCCTGGAACTCACTTGAACTCACACAGATCCACCTGCCTCTGCCTCCTAAGTGCTGGGATTAAAGGTATGTGCCACCACGACCAGCTCCCACAGGAATATTTCTTAAAACTACAAGTGGAAATAATGTTTCTATTAACTTAAAAACTTAAAATACAAAATTCAGCTAGGCATGGTGGTATGGTATATGCCTGTAATCCTAGTACTTGGAAAGTTCAGAAGGCTCCTGGTTCCAGGCCAGACTAGGTTACATAGTGAGTCCCTGTCTCAAAACCAGAAAAGTACCAAACTCAGTAACATTCCTTGGAGCAGGACAGCTTACCTCATGATCTTGTGTATTAAATTTTCTGATTTTTTTCTCATTTGGCACATCATCATCTTCTTGTCCCCAGGTTCTTTTTTGGGTATTGAAGGTTTCTTCCATTTTGTTTTCAAATGGCAAAATCTCTTTGTGGTTTGTGTCAACTGAAGACTTTTCTTCAATTTCTATGCTAACAGAGTCTGAGGAATTAATCTCACCAGGATCTATAGGGAGATTTTCCTCATTTATATATTGAGATGGACTTAAGTTCAGATTAGCTGTAATAGATCCAATGACTGACTCTTTACTAGTGACTGGCTGAGTTTCTAAGTGAGTTAAGTCAGTTTTATTTGTTGGAATCTGCTTCAGGTCATCAACACCAGTGACACTACAATTTCTTTTCTTTGGCCATCTGGGCAAAAAGATTCCCAAAGAACATCTTTTCATTTTACCTTTAATAGCTGTCTTTAGTGGTACAGAGGTAATTTCAGCTCCATTATGAGAATTATTTACTTTATCTCTGTTATCTTTAGCATCACTAGAAGCTAAGTTATGTATTTCTGCAACTTGTACTATACTCATATTATCATGTCGCTTACTTCCTAATTCAGGTAATTTTTCTGGAGTTAGCATACTAACAGACTGAAAATCTAAATACCGTTCAGTTTTTCTGTTCAAATTACTCACAGTTGGTTTGATACTACTAAAACATGAAGCATTAGTTGGAACTATAGATGCTGATGCTTCTCTAGCATTGGCATGAGTTTGAATGACTGGTGTAGTCAGGTCTGAATTACTATGGCAATCTATAGCTATATTACATTTAGCTGTTTGAACACTTTCATTCAATTCTTTTGTATACACTACAGCAAAGTGTTTCTCATTACTGGGCCTTTCGGATTCATTTTCACATGTGGGTGGAGAAGAATTTCCTATAAGAAAAGGTGAAGCCTTATTTCCAGCTTTAGACAGGATTGCTCCAACTTTGTTGACAGTACTCTGTCCTTTTAGAGTAAATGTCCTTTTAGGTTGTTGGGATGAGAGATGAGGCTGAGAAGCAACAGTAGTATCATTAACAAAGGCCTCCATCTCATCTTTCGTGAATTTATAAGATGCACACTTTGAGTTAAATTTAGACATCACCCCTTGATTTTGACTATATACCAAAGTTTGATTTTGAGGTTCTTTAATTAAAGCTGCATTTTTAACAAGTGTTATAGCACAGTTAGTTTGAATAACTTCTTCCTTCAAAGGACAAGGTGCAATGAGAGGCAGTCTTTCAGATTTCACAGAATATTCACTTGATAAATCTCCACAAACAAGCTCATTTGGTACTTGGCAATTGGCTTTCTCCTTATTTTTATCACATGAGGATGTGACATTTTCCTCCAAATTATCAAAAGAAGTAACATTTGGTAAATAGGAATAACTATCATTGGGTCCACAAACAGTAGCTTTATGACAAGTTGGAACATCCATATTTCTTCCATCTGCTCTATTGAAGGGACAGCTTTCAATTTCAGCTTGTTTCAATGTATAGACCTGGTCCATGTCTTTCCCTATGTCCTCCTCATCTTTATCAGCTTTATGGAATTTGATGATTTCCATTTTACTCTGATTATTTGACAATGTATTAGTAGGAATAAAGGCTGTCATATGATGCTCTTGTTCAGCTACTGCTTGATTTTTAGTGATTTCTTGAATACAGGTATCACCTTTAGGAATACTCAAGTTTTTGCTTCTTGCTATTCCAAATTGAGTATATTCATGAAGTATTTTCTCCATGGCTTGACAATCGATGAAAACCGTATGGGACTTGGTGACATCCAGATCATTGAGATTATCTACAAACATGACAGTTTTATCCATAGATTTAGTAGTTATTTCATCTGGTGGGGCATTATATTCTGAAGCAGTTGTGTGACTTCTAGAAGGCTCCAGGTCATCCTGCCCACATGCACATAAAATTGGTTTAGAAGTTTCTGCCAGTGGCATAAAACTGCAGTCCTCTCTATCTTCCAGGGCAATTTTATTTACTTCCACCATAGAACTGGTATCTGTATCATTTTTATCATCTTCTGGAAATGTAACAGTCCTGTTATTTTTGAGCCTAAGGCTTTTTCTTCTCTGATTTTTGCCTGACAGAGGTTCATTCAAAAATCCAGGCTTTTGTACATCTTTGACACTTTTCCAAGTGGTTAATTTAGATATGTCAGTGATATTAGTTTCTTCTCTAGGCCCACTATTAGATTCTTCTTCCAGTACTGTTAGTGAGCTGCCTTTTGCTGCTGGATGGTTACATTCACTATTTTCTGCAGGAGTAGACATTACTTTTGGATTTTGTAGGCTTTTCTTTTTGGGTAATTCAAAGTCAAGTTGGTCTCGAAGTATACTTTTCTCCTCTGCCTGGTAGTCAATGAAAACAGTATGGGACTTTGTCATCTCTAGTTCATCGTGATTATCTACAAACATCACAGTCTTGTTCAGAGGTCTAGTAGTTATTTCAACTGGTGAGATAATTTTACAATCTAAGGCAGTTGTGTTACTTCTAGTGATTTCCATTTCATCCTGTTCACATGCATACAAAATGGTTTTAGAAGTTCCTGCCGAAGGTATTAAATGGGAATCATGTTTACCTAAGAAAGATCTATGGTTTATTTCTACTGTGTAACTCTTGGTGATATCCATATCATTCTCCTCGCCCTCTGAAAATACAACTTTATCAATTTTTATCCCATCAGTACTTTTTCTTTCATAAATTTTGATATTTTGTTTTTCTTTCAGAAATTCAGGCTTCCGTACACTTCCGTCCTCTAACACAGCCATATCATTAATTATTCCAGTTTTCTCTATAGGACTTTTATCACTTTCTTCAACATTTACAGCTATCTGTCTGCTTACTGTTGTGAGTAGGCAGGTTCTGTGTTCTAAATTAGTTTTACTTTTACTATCTTCTTGTACTTCAGAAGGACCAAATCCAATGACAACAGTGTGGCTTTTGGTTAGATCTATAGTTTGTTCCTCCTCTGAACAAATCATCTTATGAGCACAGTCAGGGGTGGGATCATCTAATATTTGCCTCTGTGACTCAGAAAGTTTAAAATGCTGGCCTTGTACTAGTGCTGCTTGATTATCCAGAACTGCAACATGGCAGGAGGTATTATGGTTTTTTGCTATGTTCTGATTATAATCAGCTGATAGAGGAGAATCTTTATCAAGGCAGGATGAAATCTTCAAAATTTGATGTTTCTTTTTGTCTTGGGTGTCAGTTAGGATGTTTTTAGATATTAAGTTTGGTTGCTGGGAAGGTTGAGTAAGACTTTTGATCATTTTATCCCATTCATCTGAAGGGATTTTGCTGTGAGAGTAAGATTTAGTGACATTCTTTGATGCTGGATCAAAAGTTGTAAAAGTTGCTTGATTTCTTAAGTTACTTGTGTGAGTTTCAGTCAAATCCATATCTTCACCTGCTAACAGTTCAGTCTTTTTATCATTCAACGAAATAGATAAAGTATTTGGCAGGCTCTGTTGTAATCTTTCCTTTGACGGTTGAGGAACTGAGATATAATTTACATTCATTTTCCCATCTTCTGACATAGTTACATGACTTTGAAGCACTCTATGTTTTTCAGATAGTAGTATGGTTGATATTTCTTTTTTTCCACTTTCTTGATCTTGTTTAAAAATCTTATTATCTATTGCAATGGTGTGACTCTTGGTAATGTCCATGCTATCCTCTCCTGGATAAATAGTTTTATCTATGAGTAGAGGGCTGGCATCTGGATTGGTACATATTTTAGAATAATTACCAACAGGCTTTAGCAAATTTTTCTCCTCTCTCATACTTGATAGACATTTGGTCAGTTCCATGGCATCATTACAACTAGAATAAAATATTGTTTTATAACTTTGACTAGCTGGATTAGAAGACATAGATTCTGAGGTTATACCTAAAGTTCTGGCATCTTGAGTCTGTGTGACTGTTTGAGATGCTGACCCCATAGTATGAGTTTTGGCAATTTGAATTTTATGTTGAGGGTTTGAAAAAGACTCTTGAAAAGCAGCATTTAGTTTATTCTTAAGGATTGCTTTCTCTGGAGTTTTAGCTTCACCAACTGTAACATCTGTCATGACATTCTGAGTTTGATTTTCTGTTTCAGATAAACTATTTTCTGAGGGTAAAACCTGCGTGGTGTGGTTAATTGTCAACTCCATCAACTCATTGCCATAAATTGTAGTATCACTTTTAAATTCTCCTAAGTTGGCCTCACTGGAGGGGAGGGCTAAAGTCTGAATATTGGTTGTATGACACTGGGTGAAATTCATCTCATCATCTTGTTCTTTAAAGATTCTAGTCCTATTAGTGCTATTGTCATCTACATTAAGAGGTATATATATTTGATGTGTAGAAGAGATACTATTTGATTCTCTGGAATAAATAGGTATCTGAGAATTTTCTTTATCAGGCTCTTTAGAAGTACTGTATTTTCCTGTTTTCAATCTTTCTATAAAGTCATTGGAATTTATCTTTTCTGAGGAAGTATTTTGAGTTATAGAACATTTTAATTCTTTTTTAATTCTTGAATTCTCAGTATGCCACTTTAAGTTAGCCAGAAAGGATGTGGTATCTATTTTGGAGCTTTCACTTTTGGTATAATCTGAAAGGCCTTTGGTAATCATAACAGTGTGACTTGCTGTCAGGTCCATCTGGTTTTCATCTGAAAAGATGACAGTCTGGTCATTTGCATGTTTCTTTTCTTGATTGTGGTCTACAATTGGAAACTGCAATGAAAGAAAAATATTTAAAAAAAGCAGAACAAATGTAAGTTTTTATAAAGATATTTTATAACATGTACTATATAAATGATCATTAATGATGGTTTCAATATGTAGTTTTGTTTAAATCAATAGTGTAGTATATGTAATTTGATATTAAATTTTTTTCTAGGTCTAGGGATACAGTTCAGTTGGTCAAATGTTTACTTAACCTATACAAGGCCCTGGGATCAATCCCCAGCACAGCATAAACCAGGCATGGTAGTGTACACCTATAATCCTACTACTTGGGAAGTATAAGCAGGAGGAGCAGAAGTTTAAGGTCATCATCATTGGCTACCTAGTGAGTTCAAGGCCAGCCTGGGCTAGATACCCTGCAAATGTGACAGCACACAAGACCTATAAAAGCTCAAGCCAGACAAAATTCCAGCATGGGGGGGGATGAGGTGGGCAAGAAGTCTCATCCCTAGTTGAAAAACAGTTGGCAACTGATAGCTGCCTGGAGAAAGAGAGTCAGTTTTCTTTAAGGGTATGATGCCAGGTAGGTTGGTCAGGCTTGAGGGATGGATCTATACCTAAGAGCATTTGGGGAGTACAAATTAGACTCTCTAGGTCTTTAAACAATAATAACAATAGAAGGCATAAAGTTGGGGGGTAGTAAGGTGGGGTGGAGATAGGGAAGGGGGCCTGAATATAAAATACATTCTATGAAATTCTCAAAGAAACAATAAGATTTATATATATATTTGCTTTTTTGAGACAGGGTCTCCCTGTAGCCCCTACTGGCCTAGAACTTGCTATGTAGACCAGGATGGCCTTCATCTCACAGAGATCCACCTGTCTCCCCTGCTTCCTAAATGCTGGGATTAAAGCATGTGCCACCACACCCAACCCCAATAAAAAGTTCTTAAAGCCCGGTGTGGTGGTGCATGCCTTTAATCCTAGTACTTAGGAGGCAGAGGCAGGCAGATCTCTATGAGTTCAAGGCCAGCCTGGTCTACATAGTGAATTCCAGGCCAGCTGGGGCTATGGGGAGAGCCTGTCTCAAAAAGACCAAAAAAATAAAATAAAATAAAATAAATAAATAAATAAAAGGGAGATTATCCCAAATTAGGGGCTGGAGAAATGGATCCGTGTAGTTAAAAGCACATGCTGCTCTTGCAGAGGACCTAGGTTCAGTTTCCAGCCACCCACATGGTAGCTAACTGTATTTTACTCCAGTTACAGGGGATCAAATGTCCTCTTCTGCCTTCCACAGGCACTGCACATACATGGTACATTTATATACATGTAGGCAAACAGTTATACACATAAAAAATAAAATGATTTTTGAAAAGTTAGATTATCAGAAATATAAACTCTTAGTGTCTACCCTTTTCAACTGTATACAAATCTTTCTGCTTGCCTACCTATGTACAATACACACACACATTTTTCTATGGTGCTGGGGATCAAATCCAGAACCTTGCACCTGCTAGACAAGCCCTATACCACTGAGTTACATCCTTAGTCCAAAAATCTATATTTTAAATTCTGAGATGATTCATATGCTTATCAAAGTGTAAGAAATCTTTGCACTATTTAAATTAGTAGTGATTTATCATCAGATAACAGGAAATACAGAAAGTTTTTACAGGCTATGCTAATTCACTTTGGCATGTTATCTCAAAAATCTCACCATTAGGGTGGTAAGAGCACTGGATGCTCTTGCAGAAGGCCTAGGTTCGGTTCCCAGCACCCACTTGGTGGCTAACAACCACTCATAGCTCCAGTTCCAGGCTTCTTCTGACCTCCAAAGGCACTGCATGATATGGATGCACTTACACACATGTAGGCAATACATTCAAACACATAAAATAAAATATTTTTTAAAATCTCACCATTAACCATAAACTTTTTTGTTTTTTAGCTGAGATTAAAATATGAAAATATTTGCCTGAAACCATACCTCCTTTTGTTGTATCTGGGTCTGAATGGGAGCACAAAGCAAAGTGTTCATACCTATTCAACAAAAAATTATAGTCAGGAAAATATGCCAGGAGTCTTATTTTCTTTTTCTAGTTCCTTTATCAGTAGAAGTATTTACGTTACTAAGTTCTTCATTAGGACGTATGGATTCAACTCCTTTTTTTTTTTTTGAGACTGGGTCTTCCTGTAGCCCCAGCTGGCCTGGAACTTACTATGTAGACCAGGATGTCCTGGAACTCACAAAGATCCGCCTGCCTCTGCCTCCCAAGTGCTGGGATTAAAGGCAGTGCCACCACGACCCGCTTGGATTAAACTTCTTTAAGACTTTCAATTCATATTATCTTTCTTTCTTCTTATCCTCCTTTTCCAATGTTGGCGATCACACCCCGATCTCACATAAGGCAAGTAAGCATTCTATCACTGACAGTCTTCTACTAATGACAGAGAACACTAATTACTGTGTCCTCTTCGTAAAGAAAATATTTTAGATGTGGTGGTGATTCGTAAAGAAAATATTTTAGATGTGGTGGTGACAGATACCTGCAATCCCAGCACCTAATAGGTGGAGGCAGGAGGATCAAGAGTTCAAGACATCCTTGGCTACATAGCAAGTCGGATGCCACCTTATGCTACATGAGACCTTGTCTCAAGCAAACAAACAAATACATAAACACCAAAAACCAGGGATGAGGCTAGAGTTTAGAGCACTGGCTGCTCTTGTAAAGGACCCAGATTCAGATCCCAGCACACACATGGTGGCTAACAACCATCTGTAATCCAGTTCCAGGGAATCCGACGCCTTCTTCTGACCTCTTTGGGCATTGTGTGGCATAGCTGCACTTACACACATGCAGGCAAAACACACATACACATAAAACTTTTAAAAAATTAACAATGGAAAAAAAAGAAAAGCAGATTCAATAGAAGGTGAACCAACAAGTAAGCTACCATAATTGAGACATAGCATGCGAAAGATTTAACACAAGAGACAATGAAAATGGAAAAGAATTAGACTCAAGACATTCTAAAATTGGAATATAAAGGTTTAGGTAACAAACTGGACTTTGGGAATTAGGAAGAGATAAAAGCTGCTATACTAAAAGCAATCTGCCGATATATTATGTATAAAGACAAAGCTAGCCTGGACTATATAAGACTCAAGGTAATATAAGTAGCAATTGTTGGGGAGACAAAACTTCCTATTTGAAAGTTGTTAGGGGAAATTCAAGGATGCAGATTTCATGAGTGGGCACCCACGCTGGGATGGGCTCTTTCATGATAAAGCTGTTTTTTAGTTACTCCTGCTCCTTTAATTAACCCCTCATCTGTGTTCCTCAAAGTAATTCCAATAAACTCACTGGTTCACTAAGCTAGATCTAGGTGGACTAGTTCTTTGGTTTGTTTTCAGTGCTTTATTCTGGGTGAGTAGACATTTGTTCATGACTCCCCAGGAATAGTCACACAACAGTACACCATCCTACAAAGAGCTAGAGATAAGGCTGGAAAAAGGGGCAAATTATAAAAGACTACCTAAGTCAGTGCTAAGAGGTATGGGTTTCATCCTATAAGAAAAAGGCATTGAATCATTTTGAAAGGTAACAATTAGATTTAGAAATACAGAGAATGGATTGTGTTTTAGTTTGTTTCTCCATTTCTGCAACAAAATACTCTGACCAATACCAACTTGGGGAGGAAAGGGTTTATTTGGCTTACATTTCCTGGGTCACAGTTCATCAGGGAGCCCAAGGTAGGAACTCAGGGCAGGAATCTGGAGGCAGGAGCTGGAGCACAGGTCATAGAGGACCACTTACTGGCTTGCTCCCCTAGCCCATGCTCAGCATACTTTTTTTTTTTAACTTTTTTCTGGTCTTTTTGAGCCAGGGTCTCCCTGTAGCTTCAGCTGGCCTGGAACTCAGAGATCTGCCTGCCTCTGCCTTTAGTGCTAGGACTAGAGGCGTGTGCCACCACGCCCAGTAAAGCTCTATTTTTTTCATGGTTCTTGTACATGTTACTTATCAAGGTTTCTGAATAAAGAGAAAAGTATATGATTAAGAAAAGTATTCTGGGGGGGGCTGGAGAGGGCTCAGCGGTTAAGGGCACTGACTGCTCTTGCAGAGGACCCGGGTTCGATTCCCAGCACTCACATGGCGGCTACAAACCAACCTTAACTCCAGTTCCAGGGGAATCCGACGCCCTCTTCTGACCTCCGCGTGGCAGTGCTTGACACAGGTACACTCACATACATGCAGCCAATACACTCATATACATAAAAATAATAAATAAAATATTTTTTTTTAAAAAGTATTCTGGGACTGGAGAGATGGCTCAGTGGTTAAGAGCACTAGCTGATCTTGCAGAGGATCCAGGTTCCTAGCACTCACATGGTGGCTAAGAATTGTACCTCCATAGGCATTGCATGCATGAGTGTACAAACATACATGCAAGCAAAACACTCATATATATATAAAAAAAATGCCCTCTCTGGCCTTTGCAGGCACTGCATGCACATGGTACACTTACATACATGCAGGCAAAACAGTAATACATATACAATATAAATAAATAAAAATGGAAAAGTATTCTGATCATACTTACCAGTTATCTCACAATAACTATCATCTGAATTCTTATTCCTACAATTTAAAAGACATTTTTATAATTTACATAGCAAATAATTACCAAGAATCACAACAGTTGAAAGACTAAGGAAGGTAGAAAGTTTTCATACAGTGACTAATAGAAAATAGATTCTTATTTAAAATAGTCTTCATAGTTCATTAAATTAAGAACACTATAAAAATATGCTTAATAAGCCAGGTGTGCTGGCACTCCCCTTTAGTCCCAGCACTCAGGAGGCAGAGGTAGGCAGATCTCTGTGAATTCAAGGCTAGCTTAGTCTACATAGTGAGTTCCAGGTCAGCTGCGGTGATGGGGAAATCCTGTCACAAAAGGACCCCCCCCCCCGCAAAAAAAGTGCTTAATAGCCCAGCATGGCAGCACACATCTTTAATCCCAGCACTCAAGAGGCAGAGGAAGATGGATCTCTGAGATTGGGGCCAGCCGGGTCTACAGAGCAAGTTTGGGGCCAGCCAGGGCTACATAGTCAGACCGCCCCCCGTCTCAAAACAAAACAAATATGCATATATATTTATATGTTGCTTTATTTAAAAAAAAACAAAACAAAACAGAATAACCTGTAAATCAATTCATTTTCCAAAACTTTACTTTTAAAAAAGAGTTAATAGTCTGGGTATGGTGGCACAAGACTTTGGTCCTGGGCAGAGGCAGGCGGATCTCTGAGTTCATGGCCAACTTGGTCTACATTGTAAGTTACAGGCCAACTGAGGCTATAGGGAGACCCTGTCGCAAAAAAGACCAAAAAAAAATCTATTATATGCCTTAATATCTAGTCACGTTTTAACTCTTTTTTTGGTCTTTTTGAGATAGGGTCTCTCTGTAGCCCCAGCTGGCCTGGAACTCACTATGTAGACCAAGTTGGCCTGGAACTCACAGAGATCCGCCTGCCTCTGCCTGGGGCTAAAGGTATGTGCCACCACACCTGACGTTTTTGGTGTTTAAAATAAAAAGCTAGGGGCCAGAGAGATAGCTCAGCAGTTAAAAGCACTGGCTGCTCTTGCATGTGAATTAAAAAAATTTTTTTTTGATTCTTCTTTTTTTTTTTTAGACAGGGTAGCCCTGTAACCTCAGCTGGCATGGAACTCACTACGTAGACCAGGCTGGCCTCAGTTTCAGAGATCTGCCTGCCTCTGACTCCTGAGAGCTGGGATTAAAGCCATGCACCACCATGCCCAACATAAGTTTATTTATTTTTTGTCTTTTTGAAGCAGGGTCTCCCTGTAGCCCCAGCTGTCCTGGAACTCACTATGTAGACCAGGCTGGCCTTGAACTCACAGAGGTCCTCCTGCCTCTGCCTCCCAAGTGCTGGGACTACAGGCGTGTGCCACCATGCCCGACTATAAGTTTTTATTTTTAATATTCCTAAGTATGCCAAAAAAGGGAAGTTAAAATAACAAAAATATTTTTTTAAAGCTTCATTAAGTAGGAATAAAAAAGCCACTTAAGGGCTGGAGAGATGGCTCAGCTGTTAAGAGCACTGACTGCTCTTGCAGAGGACCCAGGTTCAATTCCTAGCACCTACATGGCGGCTACGAACCGTCCTTAACTCCAGTTCCAGAGGACTCTGAAGCCCTTTTCTGACCTCTGTGGCTGTGCACAACACAGGTGCACTCACGCACATGCAGGCAATACACTCATACACATAAAATAAAAATAATAAATATTTTAAAAAGCCACTTAAATATAATTTGAACATATCCCTTACTTACTGTATAGTTACATTTTCTCCTGCTTCTGTCTCTAAAAATAAAATAAAAATTAAAGTTGATCAAGGATATTAGAAAAGTAACATAAGAACATTAATAGAAATTTAAAAAAGAAGTAACTGACTATTCAACATTTCTATCCTAATGACTAAAGTTATACCTTTTCTTGTGTTTGGGGTGTTTTTGTTTGTTTTTTGAGTCAGGGGTTTCATGCTTTTTATTTTTTCTCTTGAGATATGTTTCAAGATATAGAACAAAAAAGGCTAGAACTTTCCTTTTGCCTCAGCTTTGGGAGTGCTGAGATTATGAGTTACCACATCTAACTCAGGATATACTTTGTGTGTATGTGTGTGTGTGTGCGTGTGTGTGGTGTGAATGTATGTACATGTTCATGTAGGTGTTCACATGTTGTGGAGGTCACAGGTCACTATAGGGTACCTTCCTCTATTGCTCTCCATATTATTTTCTTTTAAAGTTTATTTTCTTTTTGAGACAGGGTCTCCCTGTAGTCCCAGCTGTCCTGGAACTATGTAGACCAGGCTGGCCTTGAACTCACAGAGATCCGCCTGCCTCTGTCTCCCGAGGGCTGGGATTAAAGGCGTGTGCCACCACGCCTGGCAAAGTTTATTTCCTTTTTAACCATATGCGTTTGTGTGTGTGTGTGTCCACATGAATGTGGGTGACCATAGAGTCCAGTGGCATTGGATCCTATGGAGCCACAGTTGCAGGTGGTTGTAAGCTGCCTAATGTGGGTACCAAGAATTGAACCTGGGTCTTCTGGAATAGCATTCCATACTGATAACTGCTGAGCCCTCTCTACAGACCATCCACTTTATTTCTGAAGACCAGATCTCTCACTGAACCTGTAGCTTACTGATTTGGTGAGATTAGCTGTCCAATTAAGTTCCAGGGAACCTCCTATCTTCATCTCCTGATGCTAAGATTATAGTCATATACTACTACCACACTTGGCTTCAAAGTGGATGCTAGGAATCTGAACTCAGGTTTTTCATGTTGGTGTGGCAATCACCTTACCAACAGATACATTTCCCTAGCCCTTAGCATATAGTATTTAAATAGTTAAGGGCCAGTGAAATGGCTCAGTAAGTTGAAGGTATTTGTCATCAAATCTTTTTTTGAGACAGGGTTTCCCTATGTAGACCAGGCTAGCCTCAAACTCACAGAGATCCTCCTGTCTTTGCTTTATGACTATGGGATTAAAGGTGTGCATCAACATGCCTGGCTTGCTGTCAAATCTTATGATCTGAGTGCCGAGTTCAAGCTCTGGAGCTTTTATGGGAGAAAGAATCCTGAAGGTTGTCCTCTGACCTCCACACGTATGTTGTGGGATACCCCCTCATACACAAAATAAATAAATGTAAACCTTACAACAGATGAGAAGTTATGGTTAGATAACCACAGAAAAATTGTGAAGAAAACAGATTAGCAGGGACTACAATTACATATTTACCTGAAATTTCTGACTTTCTTACAGTTTTCATCTGAGACTCTGTCTGGAATACCCTAGAAGAGAAAAGTAAGAATATGGGAAATCTCCACTTTTAATGAGAATCTTTTAGTGTTCATTCGTTGACTATTTTGAGATCAGTAAGATAATACTCCCCACCAACACACACATATACATTGTTGGTACCAAACTCACAACTTCATGAATATTAAGCAGGAGTTTTATCAACTAAGTATACCCTCAGACAATATTTTGAAGAAACTGTAACATTGATTTCAGCTGACTTTTTGCTAGAACATATGCTACTGATATTTTAAATGCTTGGTTTTAAATATTAAAATCTGTTATGATTTTTTAAAATAATTTCTGACCTAATCCTTGTTTTCTTTCTTTTTTTGGAAATGGTCTCCCTACAGCTCCAACTGGCCTGGAACTCACTATGTAGACCAGGCTGGCCTTGAGCTCACAGGGTCTCCCTATAGCCCCAGCTGGCCTGGAACTTGCTATGTAGACCAGACTGGCCTCAAACTCACAAATATTTCCCTGCCTCTGCCTCTCAAGTGCTGAGATTAAAGGCTTGTGCCACTATGCCTGGCAGCATTTTTAAATTTTTTTTTAAGCATTTTTAATTTGTAAAACCCCAATTTCTTTCTCTATTTTTGTTGACTGAAACCTACAACACAATGCTAAGCAACTTTGGTAATAGCAGTTATCATTGTTTAGGTACAGACTTTAAGAAAATGTTCTGCTTCTCTTGTAAAGATAATACTGAATAACCTCCCTTTAAAATAACAATCTTGCTCTGATTTAAAGACATGCTCTGATAGCCCATGCCTTTAATCCCAGCATTCAGGAGGTAGAGGCAGGTGGGTGTCTGTGAGTTCAAGGCCAGCCTGGTCTACATTGTGAGTTCTAGGCCAGCTGGGACTACAGGAAGAGCCTGTCTCAAAAAGATGAAAATTTTAAAAAAAATTAAAAGTAACAATCTTGTACCCACACTCACACATCATATATACATAGTGACCAGTTGCCACTAATGAAAATTAAAAAAAATAATTTTTAGTTGCTTGTGGAGGCGCATGCCTTTAATCCCAGCACTCAGGAGACCACTGGTAGGTGGACCTCTGTGAGATGGAGGCTAGCCTGGTCTACATAGTGAGTTCCAGGCACACTGGGGCTACAGGGAGACCCTGTCTCAAAAATACACTCAATCAACCAAACAAACAAACTAACAGTAAGGTAGAAAAGTGATTGAGGAGGATACCTACTGTCAACCTCTGGGCTGTACTTATGTGCTTACATACGTACACACACACACAAAAATTCTTCTAATGCTTAGTTAAGCAAAACACATTGTTCAAATCAATTAGTACTGATTATATTTAATTTGGCATAGAAAAAGCATTATATAACATTTTATTTTTCTTTCAACTTACTTTATAGTATCTGCAAAGCTGACTCGACGAGAGCTTTTTCTAGTTCTTGAAGCATAAGACTCCTAAAAGCATAAATGGCACAATTCTTATGAAATCACAGTGAATTAGGTCTCCAAAATACTAGAGACAGGTATCAAGACTTATTTTGAATTAATATGATACAAAAAGCCCAATATAGAAGCATTTAATAAACATGAATATGGCTGGGTATGGTGATACACAATTTTAATTCCAGCACTTGGGAGGCAGAAGGAGGTAAATATCAGTCACTTTAAGGCCAGCCTGGTCTGCATAATGAATTCCAGGCCAGCCAAGGCTGCATAGTGAAATTCTGCTCAAAACAGCAAAAAACCCCAACGAAACAAAATAAATCAACCAACCAACCAACAACAACAAAACAAAAACAAGACCCCATGAATATGATTTTCCAAATACATTTGGAGGCACAGAGAGTAAGGACTGAACCCATGGCCTCATGAAAATACAATTTTCTTTTAAGACAGGGTCTCAGGGCCAGGCGTGGTGGTACATGCCTTTAATCCCAGCACTGGGGAGGCAGAGGCAGGTGGATCTCTGAGTTCAAGGCCAGCCTGGTCTACATAGTGAGATCCAGGACAGCTGGGGCTACAGGGAGACCCTGTCTCAAAAAGACCAAAAAAAACAAAAAAACCAAACAAACAAACAAAAAAAACAAAACCCAAAACAAACAAATAAACAAAAAAAACCCACCAAAAAAAAAAAGTATCTGTCATCTCAGCAAATAGCAATTCTGAATGTCAGGATATACGTGTAAGAGTGGTAGAGAGACTACATGGGAAAATAAATAGGGTTGAAAAATTGCCAGGCATGGTGGCAGCACACCTTTAATCTCAGTACTTGGGAGACAGAGGCAGATGGATCTCTGAGTTCTAGGACAGCCTGGTCTATACAGCAAGTTCCAGGTGAGCTGGGGTTACAGGGAAACCCTGTCTCAAAGACCAAGAAAAAAATTAAGAATGCAGGTAGAGAGCTGGCTCAGCATTGAAGATCACTGGCTGCTCTTGCAGATGACCCGAGCTATATATTCTAGCACCCACATGGTGGCTAACAACCATCTGTAAGCACAGTTCCAGGGGAATCTGATGCCCTCTTCTGTCCTGAGGGCACTGTATGACATGGGTGCACTTGCCTACATGTACATACAGGCAAAACACTCATATACATTAAAAAAATTATAATAAAAAATTAAAATTAAGAATGCCAGCCTATTCAAGAATTTGGATTTGTTTCTTTTAATATTTTATTATTTTTATTTTATGTGTATGAGTGTAATGCCTGCATGTATGTGAGTGCACCTGTGTCATGCAATGCCATGGAGGTCAGAAGAGGGCCGCCATGTGGGTGCTGGGAATTGGACCCGGGTCCTCTGCAAGAGCAGTCAGTGCTCTTAACTGCTGAGACATCTCTCCAGCCCCGAATCTGGATTTATTTTTAAGTCATGTTGAAGATTAAACTCTAGGGCCTCATGCATGTTAGGTAAACCTTCTACCACTGAGATGCAGCTCTAGCCCATAAGTGTTTGGATATTAACATGAAGGTGATAGGATGCTTATTTACAAACATTCAAATAGGAATCATTTATGATACTGTATCTTTGAATAGCTTCATCACTGAGGCAATTCATGATCACCACTGAAACCAGGCATAGTAATGCAAGCCTATAACCCTAAGTACTTGGGAAGCTCAGGTAGGAGGACTGCCACAAGTTCAAGGTCACTCTGGGCTATATAAGTGAAGACCTGTCTCAATAAACCATACACACACACACACACACACACACACAACACACACACACACACACACACACACACACACACACACACACAATCACTGAAAACAGTAATGTGTAAAGCATTTGCACTAGAGACTTACCCAAACTGTCTCATTCCCACCTCTGAGGTCCTGAAGTGGACTTCTTGGGGGTTTCAAAATCTAGAAGTAATAATTAGAATTAGTCAAGAAAATCTAGCATAGCTATTAATCAATTTAAGTTATATGAGTAGAAAGCTAAAATTTCCTTAAAAACCTCTTAAGTTCATCAAGTCATATTGCTCAGTGTTATGTGGCAGATTTAAATATTTGGCATTTATTCCTTTTCCTGGACCATTCACCTCAATTACTTTGCCCCAAATCATCTCAAGTGGCTAGGTAAATAAAGCGTACAAGTCTTTCTAGAACAATCTGAAATGTGTTTGTCCATAATGATTGGTTCAGGAGTAAGGACCTGACCCTAATAGGATAATCACACTAACAGGATTCAGTTATGAGTCTTGTTTGCTAATCTTGAGGAAACATATAATTTGTCACACAGACCTTGAACATGGAAATAGGGGAAGAGAGACATATCATAGTAATTAGAAGAATAATCACAGAAATTATGCCTGCTAGCAAAACTACAGAAGAAGCAGTCAGAAAAGAAAAAAGTCTAAGCAATGTGGCACTGCCCTGCCTGATCTGTAAGTTTTGCCTATAGCTATTCTTACCTTTGGATTTTTTTCAGTTTCATAATCTGAGTTTAGCATGTAAATCAGTTTGGGTTGAACATTTGTCCTGCAACAGTTTATCAGTTTATATGCTAGGTTAAGTATATTTTTAAGGAAAAAATATTTTAACCATTTACAACAACATATAATTCACACAGTATGAAGTTCATTAAATAAACACTTTTGAAAATGTCACAATGAAACTCATTGTTTTGTACAAATATACTAAAAGTTCATTAAATTGCAATAAAATTTGTTAAAATATGAATTTTATAATGTTTACAAAATTCTATAACCAGGTTAAATATCTGAGTCTTTATCCAGACAGCAATAAGAAGCTAGTTTGAGATGCCAAGGGAAAGTCACAGTCCAAATTACTGTGATTATAGAGTTATCATTCAGTAAAAGATAACAATAATTTAGGGCTGGAGAGATGGCTCAGTGGTTAAGAGAACTGGCTGCTCTTGCAGAGGACCCAGGTTCAGTTCCCAGCACCCACATGGCAGCTTACAACCTTACTTAACTCCAGTTCCAGGGGATACCATGCCCTCTTCTGGCCTTCAAGGGCAATGCATGACACTACATGCACTAACATATATGAAGGCAAAGTACTTGTACACATAAAACAAAAACATTTAAAGGTAACAATAATTTAAATATTTCTTACTGAGGAATGCCGTCTTCTAACAGGTCTCTCTACATTGTCACTGAAAAAAAGATTTAAAAAAAATTATGTATGCATAAAGGGCTGCATTTCTACTTTTGTTTTTTTTCTTTTTTTTTTTGAGACAGGGTGTCCCTGTAGTCCCAGCTGGCCTGAACTCCCTATGTAGAACAGGCTGGCCTCTCTCAGAGAGATCTACCTGCCTCTGCCTCTGGAGTGCTAGGATTAAGGGGTGGGGGGGCACCACACCCAGTTCATGACTACATTTCTAAAACCACCATCACATCACCCTTTAGATGTTTTTAAAATGGCTATCACTTTTTTTTTTTTTTTTTTTTGTTTTTTTGAGACAGGGTCTCCCTGTAGTCCCAGCTGTCCTGGAACTCACTATGTAGACCAGGCTGGCCTTGAACTCACAGAGATCCGCCTGCCTCTGCCTCCCAAGTGCTGGGATTAAAGGCGTGCGCCACCATGCCCAGCCTGGCTATCACTTTTATAGCACTCCGGTCAGCAAAATTTATATTATAGTATAGTATAAAACTTTAAATTCAGTATTTAGGAGTCAAGTGTTTTAAAAGAAACACGAGAGCTGGGCATGGTAGCCCATGCCTTTAATCACAATACTCAGGAGGTAGAGGCCAGCCTGGTCTACACAGTGAGCTCCAGGCCAGCTGGGGCTACCAGGAGACCCTGTCCCCAAAATAAACAAAGAAACAAACAAGAAAACACCTAAATGATGCAAGTGGCCAGACCTGGTGGCACAGGCCTATAGTAACAGCCATTCAGAAACTGAAGCAGAAGGATTACAAATCCAAGGCCAGCCTGGGCAACTTAGTGAGACCTTGTCTAGAAATGAAAAAGTAAAAAGAACACTAGGAATATAGCTCAGTGGTGGAGTACTTACCTAGCATACATGAAATCTTAAATTCAGTTACCAGTACCAAAGGAGCGGGGGGATCTGAAGGCTGAGAGTGTAGCTCACTGGTAAAATGTGCTTAGCATGTTCAAGGTCCTTAGTTCAATGCCCCGCATAAATTGTTGCCAGGCACAGTGGTGCACGCCTTTGATCCCAGCACTCAGAAGGCATAGGCAGGCAGATCTATGTGAATTTGAGGCCAGCCAGGACTACAACATGAGACCCTGTCTCAAAAAACAAACCAAACAAACAAACAAAGATTCATCATGTACTATAAAACTATCCCTTAAATATCAGTCTGTACTACAGAAGCCCAATTAAAATAAACAATGTCTAATTCACTAGCTTCTAGCTCTGGTTTTACTATGGTCTGATTTTTAGATTAGGTTTTGAAAGCCCCAAGTACCAAGAAGGCCAAACAGATCATCTGTGAGGTATAAGAAAAACAGACAACACAGAGACTTTAATGATCTGGAGAATTCTTGCCTCCTCTAGAGATCACAACCATTACTGTCTACTAGTTAACTGTTCCAAGGAAGAACATGAGCTGTGCTGCCATATATGGTTTTTCAGGTAAAATGGAAAATAAAATTATTCTATGGAATCTCAAGATTTTTTTTTCAATTTGCATAATTAGCTAAAAAAATAAATATCATGCCAGGTATAGTGGAGCACACCTTTAGTCCCAGTACTTGGGAGGCAGAGGCAGGTGGATCTCTGCGAATTCAAGGCCAGCCTGGTCTACATAGTGAGTTTCAGGCCAGCTCGTGCTGCAGGGAGACCCTGTCTCAAAAAGACAAAAAATAAATAAATAAATAAAATAAAATAAATATCATGTTTAAAACAATTATTTTGTAGGCTGCAAACAGATCACTGGTTTGTGATGCCAATGTTGAAAAAGTCATTTCATCTCCTGAGACCTTAAAATATGAGAGGTGGTACCTAAAGTCCCTCTTAGTTCTCACTCTAGATGAATTTAGACAAAGATGGCATAGAGCGCTATCACTTTGTAACACTGACTTTTCCTGGGAACACAATAGAAAAAGATTTCAGAAGTTACTGTTAGGTCTTAGTCATTGGAAAAGTACCTTTTCTAGTAGAATATAGCATTTTAGCAGTATTGAATGAACTTACTTTTCTTCATTAGCCTCTGAAGACACTCCATCCATTTTTGAAAATTTCTATAAAAATATAAAGTATTAAGTGAGAAAGATAAAAAGAAAAATTAAATCTATAATCCATTAGGAGCAAAGGTATTTTGTAAAAGAATACCAAAACTAAGAAGAAAAACACCCCGCACTATCAGCTCCAAAACAGAAGAGATTTAATAGAGTTTAAACCACTGTATTATAATTAATACTCGAAAATTTTCATACTCAAAATCTAAGCCAAGTGTTATGATGTACCCCTGTAATTTCAGCTCTTGGGAGGTGGAGGGAGGAGGAGCAAGAGTTCAAAGGTAGTCTCAGTTACATATCAAGTTCCAGGTCTTAGATTACATAATTAGATAATAATTCAACTCCCAAATGGCAGTCAACTGGATACTTAAAATAGTGGATTTATCTTAGAAAATGTAACTAAGCCAGGCATGGTGGTACATGCCTTTAAAACCAGCACTCAGGAGGCAGAGGCAGGCAAATCTGTATGAGATCAATTGAGGCCAGTGTGATATACGTAGCAAGTTCCAGTTGGGGCCAGGGGGAGAACCTGTCTGAAAGAAAAAGAAAAGAAAAGAGAAGGGGAAGAGGAGGGGGAAGGGGAGAGGGAGGGGAGGCAGGGAGGCAGGATAATCCCAGCACTCAGGAGGTAAAGGTAGTATTGCTACAAATTCAAGGCCAGCCTAGGCTACATAACAAGGCCCTTTTTCAAAAAACCAAGTAAGAAAGGTTGGAGTGATGGCCCAGCAGTCAAGAACACTTGCTGCTCTTCCAGAGGATCTGGGTTCAGTTCCTAGCACGCATTTGGGCAGTTCATAACTGCTTGTAATTCCAGCTCCAGGGGATCTGATGCTCTTCTGGGCTCTATGGGTACTGTGCTCATGTGCACATATCCCCACACAAACACACAACTAAAAATAAAATAAATCTTAAAAAAAATTTTTTTAAGCCAGGCCCATGGCTTTCATCCCAGCACTTGTGAGGCAAAGGCAGGTGGATCTCTGTGAGTTCAAGGCCAGCCTGGTCTACATAATGAGTTCTCAAAAAAAAAAAAGACAAAAAAAAATTTTTTTTTTTAGCTGAAGAAGAAAAAAGAAAACAGAAATACAATTACTCAACAACAAAACATTAGGACATAAAAATAACATTTATGAGGCTGGAGAGATGGCTCAGCAACTTAAGAACGTTTACTGCTCTTACAAAGGACCCAGGTTTGGCTCCCAGCACTGACATGGCAGCTCACAACTGCCTGTAACTCCAGCTCCAGGAGATTTAATGTCCTCTTTTGACCTCTGCTGGCACCTGCACTCATATGCACATATCCACAGATATATACACATAATTTAAAAATAAAAATAAACCATTTTAAAAAATAAACTAACATTTGTGTTTTTCTAAAAATATTTTATTTATTATTTTTATTTTATGTGTATGAGTGTATTGCCTGCATGTATGTGAGTGCACCCATGTCGTGCAAAGCCGCAGAGGTCAGAAGAGGGCTTCGGATTCCGAACTGGAGATAAGGATGGTTTGTAGCTACCATGTGGGCGGGAAACAAACCCAGGTCCTCTATAAGACCAGTCAGTGCTCTTAATCGTTGCACCATCTCTCCAGCCCCAACATTTGTGTATTTTTGTGCAGTACTGAGGAGTAAACCTATGTCCTCAAGCATGCTAGGTAAGAGCTCTACACTGAGTTACCTCCCCAGCCCTTTTTGCTTTTTGACACAGGGTCTCATTGAGTTGCCTAGGCTGGCCTTGAACTCATTTGATAACCCATATTGATCTTGAACTTTTGATTTTCCTGTCTCTGTTTCCCAAGTAACCTGAATTATAGGCAAGTACCACCAGGCCCAGCAAAAACAACATTTTAGATACTACAGTTGATTATTAAAATTGAAATTCTACTCAATGAGTATTTGCCTTGAAAAAACATGAAATAAGAGATAATAGGCTGGTGAGATGACTCAGTGGGTAAAGGCACTTGCTGCCAAGCCTGACCACCTGAATTCAAACCCCAGAACTCACAGGGTAGGAGAGAACCAACTCCCAAGTTATTCTTTGACCTCTGCACATGAACTGTGACACACATGCACGCATACACACAAACCTAAGGGTCTCCCTGTAGCCACAGCTGGACTGGAACTCGCAGTGTTGACCAGGTTGGCCTCGAACCCACTGAGATCCACCTGCCTCTGCCTCCCAAGTGCTGGGATTAAAGGCATGCACCACCACGTCTGGTTATAAATGCATACTTTTTTTTTGGTCTTTTTTGAGACAGTGTCTTCCAGTAGCCCCATCTGGCCTTGAACTCACAGAGATCCACCTGCCTCTGCCTCCAGAGTGCTGGGACTAAAGGCCTGCATCACCACGCCTGGCTAAATGCATACATTTTTAAAAGAGGTTATAACCTAAAGTTTCTTCAAATGATCCAGTTTCTACCTACTCATAACTATATCAGATTTTCACTGTATGCATTAACTCTAGAACCTTATACTTCACAGAAGTGTATGAAAAAAAAATGTGATCTCAGGTTTTAAACTAGCAGGTACAAATTTTTGAGAACTATTATTAGCATTTCTATAACACTCAATACCATATACATTAACTGTTACAGTCAACATTCTTTTAGCAATAAGGAAGAAAATAGATACCTAAAAGATGCCTTATTGCTGGGTGTGGTGGCACATGCCTTTAATCCCAGCACTGGGGAGGCAGAGGCAGGGGATGTCTGAGTTCAAGGCCAGCCTGGTCTACATAGTGAGTTCCAGGACAGCTGGGGCTACAGGGAGACCCTGTCTCAAAAAGACAAAAAAAAAAGTCTTATTTCACACAATTTTGTCATATATAACAAAAGCCAAACTAGGGAACAGTACTTTATAAAAAATCTGAATTTAAGTCAGAAATATGTATGTAGGCTTTAGCCCACCTGGCCTAGAAATCCCTACTTAGACCAGGCTGGCCTCCCTTCTTCTTTTTTTTTAAGACAGTATCTTAGCTGGGTGTGGCAGCACAGGTCTTTAATTCCAGCACTTGGGAGGCAGAGACAGGAAGATCTCTATGAGATCCAAGTCAGCCTAGTCTACACAGTGAATTCCAGGCCAGCTGGGGCTACAGGGAGACCTTGCCTCAAAAACAAAAAACAAAACGTTAACAACAACAGCAAAACAAATAGTGTCTCACTCTGCAGCCCAAACTGGACTAGAACTCACTATGTGCTCCAGGTCGACTCCAAACTTTCCTTCCTAAAGAAACACTTTTACTTTTCACTTTTTTTTTTGGTCTTTTTGAGACAGGGTCTCCCTGTAGCCCCAGCTGTCCTGGAACTCACTATGTAGACCAGACTGACCTTGAATTCACAGAGATCCGCCTGCCCCTGCCTCCCGAGTGCTGGGATTAAAAGCATGCGCCACCACGCCTGGCCTCACTGACTATTTTTGTATAGACCTTGCTAATCTAGATAATTTGTTTGCCTTACTACTTTTTGATTTTTCAAGCTTTCAGCTTTACACTGTCTTCCCACCATAGAAGATGAAATCCCTTTCCTGCAAACCATTTATTACACACACACACACACACACACACACACACACACACACACACACATTTTAGGGGGACAGGGTCTCACTATGTAGTCCCGGCTGGTCTTGAACTCCCAGACAGCCACCTGCCTCTGCCTCCTGAGTGCTAGGATTAAAGGCAAATAATAAATTAAGAAAAAAAAAAACTATGTAGTCCCAGCTGGTCTTGAACTCCCAGACAGCCACCTGCCTCTGCCTCCTGAGTGCTAGGATTAAAGGTAAATAATAAATTAAAAACAATTTTTTGTAAGATTCACATTGGGCCTCCTGGCACACACCTATAATCTTAACTACTCCGGGGGCTCAAACAGGAAGAATCACAAGCCTGGGCTTACAGAGTTCAAGGAGACAGTCTGAGTAACTTAGTGAGATTGTCTCAAAATAAAAAATGGGCTGGGATATAGCACAGTTAATAGACTGCTTGCCTAGCATGCAGCCAGTCCTGGTTTTATCCCCAGCACCATATAAACAGGGCATAGTGGCACACATCTGTAATCCTAATACTTAGGAGCTGGCTCTAGGAAGATCAGAAGTTTAAGGTCATCCTCAGCTACAGAGCTCCACGCCAGTCTGGGTTATATGAGATTCTGTCTCAAGAAGGAAAAAAAAAAAGAGAGATGGGGAAAGGATATAACATTCTCAGTGGTAGACTATTTGCCTAGCATGTGAATATGAGACCCTAGGTTGAATGCCAGTACTCAGGGGGTAGGGGTGGTGAGGGAGCCAACAGGAAACACCAATTTAATAAACCCTGAAAATTTTTCCTCTAAGATCAAACAGGTATGACAGCTATTTCCATTTTTATTTGATCTATCATCACGTCTCAGTAGTTCTATTTATAATACATACTTGAAATCCACTCATTTCTATCTTCACTGCTACCCTATAACTCAAGCCACCATGATTGTCCACGTAGAATTCTATATCTCACTAGTACACATCTTTCAGTCATAAAACCCTACAATCCTTTCTCTACATAGCAGCTAGCAATCTTCTTAAACATCTCCGTTAAGATCTTTCTTCAGCTAGGCCTGGTGGTTTACACCTGTAATCCCAGCACTAGGAAAGCTGAGGTAGGAGGCCTACCAGAGTTCAAGACCAGCCTGGGCTATATAGTTAGTTCCAGGCCAGCCTGGGCTACAGAGACCAACTCTGGAAAAACAAAATATAGCCGGGTGTGGTGGTGCACACCTTTAATCCCAGCACTCGGGAGGCAGAGCCAGGCAAATCTCTTGGAGTCTGGTCTCCATAGCGAATCCAGGCCAGCTGGGGCTACAGGGAGACCCTATCTCAAAAAGACCAAAAAAAAAAAAAAAAAAAAAAACAGCTGGGTGTGGTAGCACACGCCTTTAAACCCAGCACTTGGGAGGCAGAGACAGGTGGATGTCTGTGAGTTCAAAGCCAACCTGGTCTACACAGTGAGTCCCAGGCCAGCTGGGGTTACAGGGAGACCCTGTCTCAATTATTTATTTATTATTTATTTATTTATTTTAAAGAGCACTGGGTGCTCTTGCAGAGGACCCAGCTCCTGTTCCCAGCACCCACATGGTGAACAAAAACTGTCCGTAACTCCACTTCCAGGGGATCCAACACCCTTTTCTAACCTCCACAGGCACTTAAGCAGGCAATACACTCATACATATAAAATAAACAATAAAAAAATTTAAAACCAGGTATTTCCTACTTAAAATCTTTCAATGGTTTGTCATTCTATTGGCAGTAAGTTCATCAGATCTCTAAGGCTCAGGGGATCTGGTCTCTGCTTGCTTCATACATCACACTTCACCTCTCACTACTTTCTGACTAGCCTTCTTACTACTTTCACCTCTAGCCTTTCTATTCCTATCCAGAATCTTTCCCAAATCAGTGCATGTATATCTGTTATTCTCTCTTGGCAAGAAAGAAGGAAAAGCATTACTGGTGGCACTATATATATCTTCTCTGAGCATTATCACAAGTATAATTTAAAATACTGCTATATAAATTAATTATTCCTATTATCTCCCCAAACTACACTTGCCCCAGCAGTAAACTATGAGAATAGGGGCGGTGTGTCTCATGTTCACTGCTATAGCCTAGCAGTGCTTTGTAAATGGTAGGAGCTCAGTAAGTATACAGAGTTCCATGCACAGATAAAAATAACTTTCACTTATGACTAGCAACTTGAATAATTTTTATTTCTATAGGAATATTTTGTAACTCGGCATACATACTCAAAACACAGATAAAAATACAAGAAACTGCCGGGCATGGTGGTGCATGCCTATAGTCCCAACAGAGGCAGGTGGATCTCTGAATTCAAGAGCAGCCTGGTCTACATAGTAAGTTCCAGGCCAGCTGGGGCCACAGGGGGACCTTTTTTAAAAAAAAAAAAAAAAAAAAAAAACAAGAAACTATCAATCCAAGGTCACTTAAACATTGTTTGAAAGTCTTTGGGCATCATTCTTCTCCAACTTATGGACTACTTAGCACTTAACTGATGAGATTCAAACTTACTGAAGTCTCATTTTAGTATTTTATTAAATAACTGTATGTTATACCTTCAACAGAAATAGGTAGAGCCCCCAGCCTATCATGGTAACCCTCAGTAATAAAATGCTCTTTGATCACTATTACATTGATTGGCTCCAAACTGTGCATTTGGCATTTAGGGGTGAAGCAGCATACTTATAAAGGTATCTGAATAGTTTAAGGCTTTTTTCCTTGTTTTGTTTTTTTTGAGAAAGGGTCTCCCTGTAGTCCCCGCTGGCCTGGAACTCCTTATGTAGACCAGGTTGGCCTCTATCTCACAGAAATCCTCCTGCCTCTGCCTAGGGAGTGCTGGAACTAAAGACATGTGCCAGTACCCTGGGCTCAGTTTAAGTTTTAAACAGCCATTCTTGAAATCTGTCAGGCACTGGGTAAACTACTACTTCAAAATAGTAATCCATTTGTATTATCAGTTTTTATAAGATATTGTGAAGCTAGAGTTTTGGCAAGTGGTATGAATAAAAGCTAGTGTTGTTTGTTTTTTGGTCTTTTTGAGACAGGGTTTCCCTGCAGCCCCAGCTGGCCTGGAACTCACTATGTAAACCAAGTGGGCCTAAACTCACAAAGATCTGCCTGCCCCTGCCTCCCCGAGTTTTGGGATTAAAGGCAAGCACCACCATGCCAGGCTTGTTTTTTATACGGGTAGGGGGAGGGCAGCTGGAGCAATAACCTAGCAGTTAAGAGCACTGGCTGCTCTTGCAGAGGACACAGGTTCGATTCCCAGCACCCACATGACAACCATCTGTAGCTAACAACCATCTGTATCTCCAGTTTGAGGGGATCCAACCCCCCTTCTGACCTCGGTGGCCACTGCACAACAATGGTGCTCCCACCTACATACAAGCAATACATGCATACACACAGAAAAAGATAAATAAAATTATTATCAAAGTGGTACAGTGTTCAGTGGGCAAACTTACCTAATTAGTAATTGGGACTAAACAAGAAAAAAGCATATTGTATTTTTCTTCAAATTACATACTTATCAAATGGTTAATCAGTTGCCAGGATATACTCATTAAGTTGATTATAACTAATAAATAGAAACGTTAGGTATTTCTTTCGGCTAAGAGTATTGCCTGAACCAAGAAAGTTTAGGCACCACTAATCTAAATAATGCAAAGGTCTGCAAACCATTGCCACTGGGCCATGGTTTCTCTTTTTTCACATATTTAATAGGTTGTAGAAAACAACAAACAGTATGTGGCTGAGAACATCACAGTAGCAAAGCCTAAAACACTGACTTTGTCCACTCCTGAATTTATACAACCAATATCTAGAGTAAATATTTTCCAGTCTCCATTGATATAGACCCTAGATCTGTGCTGTCAAATACAGTAGCCAGTACATTTCAAAAGCTCAATAGCTGCTAATGGATACCATGTTGAACAGGCAGATATAAAATATTGCTATTATCACACAAAGTTATATTGCCAAAGAATCATCTAGAGTGAATATCTTCTATTCTCTGAGCATTAAACACATTAGATATTGATATTATCATTCCAAACATTTTTACTCAATTTACATATATACCATCTTGTAAAGATTTTCAGCCATTCACAAGGCCAAGATTTTTACTGCTTTGACCGTAACCTTTAAGTACTATTGCGGGGGGGGGGGGCTTTTTTTTTTGGTCTTTTTGAGACAGGGTCTCCCTGTAGCCCCAGCTGTCCTGGAACTCACTATGTAAACCAGACTGGCCTTGAACACAGAGATCCCCCTGCCCTCTGCCCACTGAGTGCTGGGATTAAAAGGCATGGGCCACCACACTCAGCTTAATTACCCAAATCTTACAGTATATTCTCTCCACGTCTATAAATCAGGCCTCCGACGCTTTGACATTCTTCATGCCCAAAGCATCCATTCTCCCTCCTCTCTGCTCCTACACGTCTTTAGAACGTGGTATCAAATGGACGTTCTGCCATGTATCGCAGCTGTATGCATTTCCCTTTCTGGACGGTTACCCTCTCTACATTGGGGACTCGGAGGACTCCGACCGATCCAATTCAGCTGAGGTGAACATTTGCTTCAATCTTCGGATCTAGAGTAACGCCAGCCTTCATGTCTGCTAAGTCTATCTTTACAACAGTCTTCTCCCACAGGGGCTTTAATCCTGAGCCCCTGGGAAGAGCTGGGACGTCTCCTGGGGGCACATCAGTGCTGTGTAAAGTCAGACCTGCAGAAACCAGCATCTCGATTCAGGTGATCCTAGCCCTCCGCTCTGCCACTGCGACAAAAGGACGACGAGCCGAGAATTCAAAAAGCATTCGCTTCTTCACTCGTTACCTTCTTGGCAGCCCAGAAAATCGAGTCAGACACCAGAACCACCGCGAGATCCCGGAAAGCACAGGGGACCACGGCGGGGTGGGGCTGACCCAGCGCAGAGAGCTGGACGCGCCCACCACTCGCGCCCAGCTGAGCTGAGGGCAGGCCGAGGCGCGGCTGGCGGCCCGCGGGAACCGCGTTCCTGTAAGGCGCCTCCGAGACCGCGGCCCACCGGGCGGCCCTCCCCCGGCCCCGCGGGGCCTTCAGCGCGCCGGGACACAACCCAAGCCCCCGCAGCAGCCCAGAACCACCAGATCGCTCTTCTTACCCGCCTCGGCCCACCTGCTGGATTTGTTTGGGGTCCGCGCGCTCCTCAGAAAAGACGTCACCTCGCAGCCTCCAGTCAGCCTTCCTGAAGTATTCGAATCTAACCGCCGAGGTGCTGCGCATGCGCACCCCCGCCCTGCGCGTCGGCCCCGCCCCCTGGGCGCCAGTCTAGCCCCGCCCCTAAGACGCCTTTAGACGTTCCTGCCAGCCTCTACGCGTACTTAACGTCCTCTCGGTTTTTCTCGTCTACTGAATTGTCTTCGCCTTTCTCGCTTTCAGACTTTCTGTTCCCGTGAGAGCGGCCATCTTCTTTCGATTGTCTGCTATATTAACGATTGAACGTTGGCTTTCGTACAAAATGGCGACTTCATCAACATTGCGTCACATCCCCCTGGTACTACTCCCTATAGCTGCCAGGAAGAGGTAAGATACGGGGACGAGGTGGCCGAGTGGTTAAGGCGATGGACTGCTAATCCATTGTGCTCTGCACGCGTGGGTTCGAATCCCATCCTCGTCGAGAACTTTTCTTCCCAGCTTCTAACAATTAATTTTGAGTTCTTACTCAATTTAAAAACTATCACAATGAGTCTCAGCAGAGTTTTTTTTTTGTGGTGTTGGGAATGGAAGAATTGAAATATTTGAAAAGCAGCTTGCAGCTTTCGGAATATTATGACCTTACAGTTGAAGAAAAGGCAGGGAAAGAAGGGTTTTGTTGTTTGTTTTTCTAGGACTAGGAAAATTTGTTAAATTTAATTTCTTATAAAGTAAAAAATAATGCAGAGCATTATACAGTAACCTCCAGCTCATGTATTCCAATACTGCTCTGACCCAACATAAAAACCCGGCTCCTACTTGAGAGGTTTCATTTATTAATGGGCTCTTACTCCAGGATTTTTTGTTTTTAGTTTTTGTTGTTTTGGGACAAAGGCTCACTATGTAGCCCAGGCTAGCCTCAAACTCAGAATTATCCTGTCTCAGTCTCCCAAGTGCTAGGATTAGAGGGATGTACCACCATGCCTAGCTATCCCAGGGTTTTTTTTTTTTTTTAATCTTTTTGAGACAGGGTCTCCCTGTAGCACTAGCTGTCCTGGAACTCACCATGTAGACCAGGCTGGCCTTGAACTCACAGAGATCCACCTGCCTCTGCCTCCCGAGTGCTGGGATTAAAGGCGTGTGCCACCACACCTGGCTTATCCCAGGGTTTTTAATGCCTATCTTCATCATGAAATGTCATATTTCATTACATATACTACCTCTTCCAGCCTTCAAGCAAGCTATAGGTTTTTTTTTTTTATGTACACATTAAAAAGATGTCGATAAAAAAAAAGATGTTGATGATGTGTGAAACCTTAATAATACATGAAAATTAAATACTGAAGACCAGGAATGTGTCTACCTTCCCAGAGGAGAAGGGGCTAAATCGTCTGGATTTAACCAGGGAAGGAAGAATAGGGAAAGATCATCAGGCAATCTACATTTAACAACCTTTATTTATTATTGTTATCTAAAAGCATCACATATTTTTTAACTTATTATTTTTATTTTATGTGTATGAGTGTATTGCCTGCATGTATGTGAGTGCACCCATTTGTGCAATGACCGTGGAGGTCAGAAGATGGCATTGGATCCTCTCGAACTGGAGTTATGCATGGTTGTTAGCCACTGTGTGGGTGCTGGCAACCAAACCAGAGCAGCTGCAAGAGCAGCCAGTGAGCTCTCTGCTGAGCCATCTCTCTAGCCCTGCATCCTTATTTTCATAATTTCTAATTGAAAACAATTTTTTTCAATAAAAGTAATTAATGAACTTCAGTAATATTAACCTCACCTATGATTTTGTCACCAATATAAATTAGGTATTTAAAAAATTATTTATTTTATGTGTTTGTGTGTTTTGCCTGCATGTATATAAGTGCATCTGTCCATGGAGGCCAGAAGGAGACATCAGATCCCCTGGAACTGGAGTTACAGAAGGTTGTAAGCTGCCATGTGGGTGCTGAGAACTGAACCTGAGTCCTCTGCAAGAGGAGCCAGTGCTCTTAACCACTGAGCCATCTCTCCAACCTCAGAAGTCAGGTGTTTTTATGTTATATATATATTTTTTGTCTTCTTGAGACAGGCTCTCCCTGTAGTCCCAGCTGGCCTCAAACTCACAGAGATCCACCTGCCTCTGCCCCCCGAGTGCTAGGATTAAGTGCACAACCACGTCTGGCTTATGTTATATTTCTCTTACTACTTTAGAACGCCTGTGGTTTGAATATGTTCCACCAAATTTCATATGTTAGAAACTTGGTCCCCAATGCAGCAGTGTAGAGAGGGGGATTCTTTGGGAAATGAGGCAGAACTGTCAGAAATGGAACAATCCATGCATAGATTAATGGATTCCTAAAGGAGTGACTTATTGTCTGGCCATGTATGGCTCTCCATTGTGTTATGACACAGCAATAAGTTGGCACTGTTCTCTTGGATTCCCAGCCTGTAGAACCAGGAAGTCAACACCCCTCTTCCTGATCCATTCGCCTTCTCTTTCAGACAAGATTTCACTGTTTAGTTGAGCATAGGCTGGAACTTACTCCTTAGCTCAGGCTACTTCTAACTGTACATTCTCCTGCCTCAGCCTGCTCAGTGCTGGGATTACAGGAGTGTGCCAACATACATAGCTAAATTTGTAGTCTTTATAAATGACCCACTTTCAGATATTTTGTTGTAGCAATAGAAAATAGACTAAGGCAATGTTCATCACTACTTAAAAATTATGGTCATCATTAGAGCTGTCATTAGATTTTATAATATTGTATATTCATACAGAAGGAACTGGGTGTGGTGGCACATGCCTGTTAATCTCAACACTTGGGAGATCAGGAATTCAGAGTCATCTTCATCTGTATAGTGAGTTGGAAATCAGCCTAGGCTGCATCAGACTCTGTCTCAAAAAGAAAACCCTCCAAATAAGTACATAAATACATAAATTACAATGCCACAAGTTTCTAATTTTTAAAAAAATACTTTTGCCTATAGGTATGTGTACATATTTATGTATGTGCATAAAATTGAATTTGTATATTTCTGTGTATACATGTATGTCAGAGGTCGAGCCATCGCTACCTCATGTTTTGAGACAGTTTCTCACTGGACCTGGAGTGCAAAAATGAGCTAGACAGAATGGCAATGAGTTTCAAGGATCTGCTGTTTCCAGCCCCACCCCATCCCAGCACTGGGCTTGCTGGGGTGTACCACTGTGCTTAGCTTTTACATAGATGCTGGGGACCTGAACTCAGATCCTCATGTTTATGCAGCAGGCACTTTACCAACTAGCTGTCTCCTCAGCCCCAATTCTAAAATATGTCCGTACCTGCGTTCAACAAATGTAGTTGTCTTTGCATTCCAATGTACTTCATTTTATGCATTTTAAAGCAATTTTCTGAGACAAGATCAATAAGCTTCACCAGGCTGCCAGAGGAATCTAAGTCACCAATAAAGGTTAAAATCTCATGAGGGAGCAGTTGTGGTGCCACCAGCATTCTTTAATTCCAGCATTCTGAAGGCAGAGGCAGGTGGATCTCTGTGAGTTCCAGGCCAGCTAGGGCTACAACAGTGAGACCTTAAAAAAAAGCCCACAAGGTTGCTAGCTCTAATGACCCATACTAGTGATCAATCAATCTCAGCAGGAAGTCATGAGTTTGAGGCTACCTTGGGCTGCATAGCTAACCCTGTCTCAAACCAAACCAAACCAAGCTGAGTGTGGTGGGGCTTGCCTTTAAGCTCAGCACTTGATAAGCAGAGGCAGGCAGATCTCTGTGACATTTAAGGCAGCCTGGTCTACAAAGTGAGTTCCAGACCAACTGGAGCTACAGGAAGACCCTGTCTCAAAAAAACAACAAAAAAAAAGGCCTGGAGAGACGGCTCAGTGGTTAAGAGCACTGACTGTTCTTGCAGAGGACCCATGTTTGATTCCCAGCACCCACATGGTGGCCCTCTTCTGACCTCCATGGCATTGTACGACACAGGTGCACTCACATACATGCAGGCAATACACTCATACACATAAAATAAAAATAATAAAAATTTTTAAAAAAGCAAAAATCCCAAACTGACAAACAAATAAAAAGAGCCCAAGAAGAGTTTTTCAGGTCTGTCTGGGAGACATTGATTTCAGCTTTCCCTGAACTAAGGCTTGCTTTCTCTCCACACCACTTTCACAATTTTTTTTTTGGCAGGGGGGGGGGGTGGGGGGTGGTTAAGTTTGCCTGGCATGGTGCACACCTTTAATCCTAGCACTTGGGAAGCAGAAGCAGGCACATCTTTGTAAATTCAAGGCCAGCGAGGTCTACATAGTGAGTTCCAGGCCAGCTGGGGCTACAGGTTTTATTTTCAGTACTGAGGATTAAACCTAGAATATTACTATTGTGGGGTGCTTCACCAGAGAAGACCATTCAGAAAAAGTTTTGCCGAATGAAAGTTGTTACTGGCCAGGGCCACTACACAAGGG